AGTGACCTCCCCCTGTCCCCCCGCCGGGTGACCTTCCCCTGTACTCTGATCCTCAATTACCTGCACTGCCCCATTATACTCAGCATGCCAATCCACTTACTTCATTCTGGACTGTCTCATAATTGTGATCACCACCCAGCCCCCTTTTTTTTGTTTTCTCTGACATGCTGTTTTCTGATTTCCTTCTCTCCAGCATTTCTCACTGCCATCCAGTTGTTCTCGCGCCGTGAGAATGAGCAACAGGACCCTGAGGATGAGATCATCCTACTGATCAAAAAGTCCAAGGTTCAGAATGGTTTGCTTCTCACTCGCCCTTTATGCCAGCTCAAACTTTGTCATCTCATCAAAGCAGCCTGTGTGTGTGTGTGTGAGGCAAAGGACAATCATGACCCCCCCCTCCAAACCTCTGGACAGCAGTAGGTTCTCTGGCTCTCCATTCTGGTCCAAATGGCACCCACCCTCACCAGGAGGAATAAACTTATGGTGCCAGTGTCAGCAGGTATCAAATATAATAAAGCTGTCAATGTAACACCTTAATTTGAAAATGGAAGAAATCAAAAAACTTGGTAACTGTAAGCCAGTTACCTTAACAGCAGTTATTGGGAAAATGCTAGGGTCTTTTATAAAGGATGTAATAGCAGAGCATTTAGAAATATAATCAAGCAGTAGTAAGATGGCTTCATTAATGGGAAATCATGCCTGATAAGTTTTCTAGAATTCTTTGAGGTAATAATGAAGAGGATTAGATAAAGGGAAAATTGTGAATGTGATCTATTGGGATTTTCAGAAGGTGTTTGATAAGGTACCACACATAATGCTATTTAATAAGAGAAGGAGGCAGTATATTAGCATGGATAGAGAATTGGCTAACTAAAAATCAGTTTGTATAAGGGAGGGCATTTTCAGATGACAACCTGTAACTAGTAGAGTGCCATAGGGATCAATGCTGGGCCTGCAATTATTTGCAATATATCACAGAATTGTTATGGTGCAGAATGATGCCATTGGGTCCATCATGCCTGCGTCAGTTCCTCAAATGAACATTGTTATGTGGAACCGATCTCCTACCTTTTTTGCTCCCCCACACTCTTGCATGCTATTTATAGCCAAGTAATCACTGAATGCTGCCTCTACCATGTTTCCAGGCTGCACATTCCAGACCTTAACTATTCATTAGATGAAAAAGAATGAACTCGCATCACATTTGCTGCTTTTGCATGACTTCTAATTTACGCCATCTCATTTTCCTTCCTTTTACAAGTGGAAGGAGCTTCTCACTATCCACTTCTATCCACCCCTTTCATGATTTGTACTGTAGTCAAATTTGTGGACAGCGCAAAGATAGGTGGGAAGGCTAATAGTGAGGATGACACAAAGACTTTGCAGAGGCATATAGACAGGTTAAGCGAGTGGGCAAAAACTTTAGATGGAATATTATGTGGTGAAAATGTGAGGTCATGCACTTTGGCAGGAAGAATAGAGGAGGTGAATATTATTTAAATAGAGAAAGGCTGCAGAAAGCTACAGCACAGAGTTTGTGATTTCTCATGCACGAATCTCAAATTGCTAGCATCCAAGTTCAGCAGGTAATAGGGAAAACAAATGCAATCTTGGCCTTTTCTTTTACGAAGTGAATGGAGTATAAAAGTGGGAGACATTTTGCTAAAACTATACAAGGCCTATACAAGTCAGACCATAGTTGATCCTTGAAGCAGTTCTGAGCCCCTTACCCAATAAAAGGCACACTGGCATTGGAGACAGTTTAGAGAAGGTTCACTAGTTTGATCCTGGATAAGGAGGGACAGTCTTGTGAGATAGATTGAGTAGGTTGGGCCTGTACTCTGAAGTTTAGAAGAATAAGCAGGGACCTCCTGGAACATGCAAGGTTCTTAGGGTAGATGCAGAGAGGTTGTTTCCCCTGGAGGGCATAATTTCAAAATAAGGGGTTGCACATTTGAGACAGAGTTGAGGAAGAATTTCTTCTCTCAGATGATAGTGAACCTTTGGAATTCCTTCCAGAGTTTTAATCGGGTAGGGAATCAAGGGTTGTTGGGGAGAAGGAAGGAAAGTGGATTTGAGGATTATCAGTTCAGTCGGAGAAAACTTGATGGGTGAATGGTGTACCTCTGCTCCTAAGCCTTATGGTCTTAAAAGCAAAATACTGCAGATATTGGAGATCTGAAATAAAAACAAAATACTGGAGAAACTTGAGATCTGGCTGTATCTCTGGAGAGAGAAACAACATTTAGAGTCTGATATTACTCTTCTTCAGAACTCCCTAATATAGCTGGGAGGGGGTACGCGACTAAATCTGGAACCCTCTCCCTAACTCCCCCTGCACCTCCCCACAAAAGGCTGAGATGTTTGGAGAGATTGAAGGTACGGTTTTATGGTATTAACCAACTTCATGCTCTCTGTCCACAGTCAAGTTTGGAAAACCCACAACAGATGTTTGAGCAGTTTCCAAGCTGGTGCTCTGGGCTGTACAATTTTAGTGTAGCCTCTGGTTAGACATTGTTTCTGTATTGATGAGGGAGGTTGGTTGGCTCCCTGTTAACCTTCCCTGCCTCTCTACAGGTGAGTGCCATGACGGGGAAGCTGGAGGATGCTGACCGTTACTTGCACCAGGCACTAAAACTTGCCCAGCTGTCACAGAACAACCAGGCCATCACTTATACCTACACACAGGTAAGCAGCACAGGCCTGGGGTTCAAGGGCTATGGGGAGTCTATCCTGAGAGGTTTGAAGCTGCTGTCCCAGTGGGGGACAGCCTGTCAGGAGGGGGCACTGTTGTTCCAGTGTCTGTGGGACATGGAGCCTGTCAGGAGGGGGCTGTTATCCCAGTGCCTGGGGCGTGTGCAGCCTGTTGGGGTGGGGCAGTGAAGAGTGACCTCCAGCTGATCTCAGTCCACCCAGTGCTGTGACCCAGTCCTCATGGATGTTGGTTCCCTAGTTACAGGATCAGGAGATAGATTCTTCATGTTTTGTGGACATATCCGCCAGTGCAGACAAGCCATTGCCTGCTGAGCATTTGCTTGCTTCAGTTTTAGAGACTGCAGCTACAGGGTGTGAGCGACACTCTGTATGTTGTGTTTTAGTGACCAGCCATGTAGTTCCCGGGCCAATCTGGAAGTCACCCCTAAATCTTGATCAAGGTATACTCTAGAGATATGTTTACATTATCAAGGCCGATGCTTCATTGGCAGCGCCGAGGGAATGCCGTGCTGTCAGAGGGTCAAGACGGCTCACAAATGTTTCTAAGAATTGACTTCAAGTTGAAGATTTTTATTTGTTGCTAATCAGGACTGATACACAAGGATATTTTGCCTGCAGACTGTGGAGTCCTATGTGAGAGTGAATGTATCTTCTTGCATGATCAAATAAAGGACGTTATGTGCCTGACTGCTAATCATTCAATTTTAAGTATAGAAGGAAGCCATTGGACCGACTGTGTTGGTACTGGCTCGTGAACGAGCTCCCCAGTTAGTTCCATTCTCCAGCCCAATCTCTAAACTCATCAGTTTCAAATACATAAACAGCTCTCTTTTGAAACCTCCAATGGAATCTGCCTGCACCATTTCCCAGGCAGTGCATTCCAAATCCTAACAACTCTCTGAGTAAAGAAGTTTCTTCCCAGCTCTCTTGCTGATAGTCTTGAAATTGCAACCCCTAGTTACTGACCTACTATCTAGTGGAAACAAAATATCCTTCTTCACCCTTTTAAAATTGTTCATGATTTTGAACACCTCAATAAGATCTCCTCTTAATCTTCTCTACTCCATGGAGAATAAGCCCAATTTCTCTAATTTTTCTTTTCAATGAGCGTTTCTGGTGAATTCTTAATGCAATCAATATTTAGTGAGTGTTGTTGTACAGTTGAATTACATCTATTATTGTTGACTGTGTTCTGAGTTTTGCAGGCTTTGGATGCTCATGGAAGGATTAACACTGCCACATTAGAACAGTATCCAGTGCACACACTTTCCTCAGTAAAAGAAAGAGGCACAATTGATACAGTCAATCCCTACTACATCCCCACAGCAGGCATCTTACTAGCTTGCCTGTCTTGAATTTAATCTGTTAATAAGAGAGTTAACAGTTCCTGAAGAACCTCCACGCCAACATGACTGTGATCAATCAGCACCCTCTTGTATTCTGTATAAATCATTGCTTCCTTTGTTTAAGCAGTGTGCTCAGACATGGTATGAAACTGTTCTGAGGCATGTGGGATTGAGGGTAGGGACACCATCACTGCACAGCAAGGCTCTTTTGCTTCCCTTCTGAAGTTGGGTTTTCTTGCATATTAGTCCTGATGAGCAAGGTAGAAAGCTTCGACTCCACGTCTCATGTAGCAAAAGTCATTTCCCTCCGAGGTGATTACTGCACGTATTGTCTATATTTTGAGTGGACCATGTTTCTCTGATGCATATTCTCTCCTTCTCCCTCCTCCCTTCCCCCTCCCTCTTCTCTCTGTCTACACTTGTCTTTCTCTCCCTCATTCTGTCTCCCCTTCTCTCTGTCTCCTCCCTCTCCCCGCCTCACTCTGTCTTGTTTTCTCTTTCACACTTTCTGTCTCTCTCTCTGTCTCTGTGTCTCTTTCTGTACTCCTGTGCCCCCCGTCCCTCTGCCCTGATATTTTGCAGATGGCCAACCTGGCGTTTCTCCGAGGAGACCTACTTAATGTAAGTGATCGGAATGTTCAGTCCTGTCAAGCTTAAAACATCTCTGCCCTCCTCAGTCTCCAACCCATTTCCCGTCTTGTCCCCCTCTTCCTCCTCCTCCTCCTCCTTCTCCTCTCTGTCTCCCTATTTCCTCTTGGATCTAGCTTGTTTTGTTAAACAATCAGTTCTCATCTCTTTTTTTTCTCTCTAACTCTTTAGGCTGAGAAACTTTTCAAAGCAGCAATGAGCCAGCTCTTACAAGCTGGGACTCCAGAGGTAAATATCTTTATAATTTGAGCTGTGCCAGATCAAAAACAGTATTCATTCGTGGGCTGTGGGGGCAGGCATTTATTACCTGTCCCTAATTGCCCTTGAGAAGGTGGTGGTGAGCTGCCTTCTTGAACTGCTGGAGTTGTTGTGGTGTACGTAGACACCCAATGCCCTAAGAAAGGGAATTCCAGGATTTTGACCCAGCGACACTGAAGGAACGGCGATATATTTCCAAGTCAGGATGGTGAGGGGTTTGGAGGGAAACTTGCAGGGGGTAGTGTTCCCAAGTATCTGCTGCCCTTGTCCTTCTAGATGGAAGTGGTTGTGGATTTGGAAGGTGCTGTCTGAGGATCTTTGGTGAATTTCTGCAGTACATCTTGTAGATGGTACGCACTGCTGGTAATGAGCGTCGGTGGTGGAGGGAGTGGATGCTTTGTCCTGAATGGTGTCAAGCTTCTTGTGTGTTGGGTACAGTGTTGGCTACTGCCTGTGGCCACTGTTCCTGTTGTGAGATCACTGAAACTTTTAACAAAGCAGAGTGATGAGTAGAAAACGTAGATGGTGATTTGTAACTCCTTCCCTCTTGATCACACAGGATGATAATGCAATGATTGAGATGTCCCTCAAGTTGTGCAGCATCTACGTGACCACTGAACAGTGAGTACACCAGCAGCAAACCAGACGCCTCGAACTTTAGCAATCCCTTTGCCACCCCTCCTTCCACTTTCCCACAGGCACTGGTGTACATGATTCATGGGCACAGGCTCTTCCTGCGGGCATTTAATCCACTCCCCCTGCCAGGACAGTGCCCCTGCTCAGTCTACAGCATCCACATGGGAGGCAAGAGTGACTGCTCGAGCGACTCTCTGACAACTTGCCTGGCACTGTCACTTTCATGTGTACCCAGCTTTGGTGAGTGCTACTGCATAGTTTGCTGAGATCTCTTCTCCATCCCTGATCCTGCACCCCATTCCTGCTCTGAGTATAATGTCAGGACTGCAGACTGACTGAGGGGAAAGAACTGTGACCAATCAGATGGTCACCATATTGTTGTGGAGATGACTAGGTGCTTAAACGTAGTCTCGGCCTTTAGCTGAAAGCTCAGTTGCAAGTCACTGACAGTTGACTGTTAGTGTTGAGTTTCTCCAGCACTCTGTTGGTTGAAGCAAAATATTGTTAATTTCATCCATGATTTCTTATTCTCTACTATCAACTCCCCATTCACACTCTCTAAAGGATCAATACTCGCCTTATTTACTCTTTTCTTTCCTTTTAAATACCTGCAGAAGCTTTTGGTGTTTGTTTTATGTTTCAAACTAGCTTCCTTTCATACTTAGTTTCTCCTGAATAATCTTGTAGCTGTTCTCTACCATTCTTTATGTTCTGTCCAGTCATCTGACCTGTCACACACCTTTGTGCAGTTATATGCTTTTTCCTTAAGCTTGATGCTTTTGTTAACTTCTTTAGTTAACCACAGATGGCAGTATCTCCCTCAGAATTTTTCTTTACAGTAAGTAATTGTTTATTCGGAGCATCTGAAATCATAGAATCACAGAATCCCGTGAGTGCGGATAGAGGCCATTCAGCCCATCAAACTTGCACTGATCTTCCAAAGAGTATCTCACCCAGACCCAGCCCCCAGCCTATTCCCGTAACTTCATGTGTACCATAGTTAACCCACCTAACCTGTACATCCCTGGATACTATGGGCAATTTACGGTGGCTAATCCACCTAACCTGCACGTCTTTGGACTGTGGGAGGAACCTGGAGCAAACCCACGCAGACACGGGGAGAGTGTGCAAACTCCACACAGACATTGTTTTCTGTGGAGGCTGGAATTGAACCTGGGTCCTCGGTGCTGTGAGGCAGCAGTGCTAATCACTGTGCCACCCTTAACAGAACAATCCCTTTAAATGCCTGCCACTGAGTCTCTATTGATCTATTAACACCTCAGATCCCAGTTTGCTTCAGCTAGCACAGCTTTCTTGCCTATTTAGTTGCCTTTATTTAGGTTTAAAATGCTAGTCTTGGATGACTCTTCTCCCTTTCAAACCGGGAGTACAGTTCACTCTCAATGCTAGTTACAACTGCTGAGGGTTGTCTTAACTCTGAGGCCACTAACTAATCCTGTCACATGCAATACCAAGTCTAATATAACCTACTAACCTGCTCTCTGGTTGGATCCAGAATGAGCTGCTCTAAGAAACTTCCTGGAAAGCACTCAATGAATCCACACCCTGGCTACCATTTCAAATCAAGTTTTCCAGTTAATATATAAATTAAAGTCCCTCATGATGATTGCTGTCCTTATCACAATCACCCAATATTTCACGTCCTTCGATTTGATGTAATCTTTCACTTCTTTCATTAACCATGATTGATTCACCTTTCCCTTTGGGTTATAGAAATAAGGAGGAAGAGTAGGCCATTCGGTCCTTTCAGTCTGCTGCACCATTCAGTGTGTTCATGGTTCAAGTCTCTATTCAACACCATATTCCTGCTTTCTCCTCATATCCCTGATGGCTTTAAAATCTAAAAATGTGTCTATCCCTTTCTTGAATATAATTGGGTCGTAGAGGAACGTACATCTGTTGTAGACAATGCGATGCTTCTTTAACTACTAGCTATTGCCTAACATAGAACATAGAACAGTACAGCACAGTACAGGCCCTTCGGCCCACGATGTTGTGCCGACCTATTATCCTACTAAGATCAATCTACCCTGCATACCCTACATTTTACTATCCTCCATGTGCCTATCCAAGAGTCGCTTAAAAGTCTCTAAAGTATCTGACTCCACCACCACGGCCGGCAGCACATTCCACACATCCACCACTCTCTGTGTAAAGAACCTAGCTCTGCTATCTCCCCATATCTTCCTCCAACCACCTTACAATTATGCCCCCTCGTAATAGTCATTTCCGCCCTGGGGAAAAGTGGATAATATAGTGTTTGTCACAGTATCTGCAGGGAATCTTGTATATCTTGTGTATGACATTGATCCTGTCTATATATCAACCCCACGACAACTGCTCGCCCGAACCAAAGACCCACTACCCACTATGGTCAGGACCAATGTCATATACAAGATTCCCAGTAGAGACTGTGACAAACACTACATCTTTTAAACAGGAAGGAAATTAACAACAAGGGTACACAAACACCAATTGGCTGCAAAAAGACACGACCAATACTCACTCATCTCAATCCACATGGATAAGGAGAACCACCAATTCGATTGGGACAACACCAAAATCCTGGGACAAGCAAAGCAGAGACAAGCACAGGAATTTCTAGAAGCCTGGTACTCCACGAAGAAAGCCATCAACAAACACATAGAACTCGAACCCATATACACTCCACTGTGAGGAAAAACCGGAAGTGAGATAATCCAGCTCAACAGACTCCAGAGTTCAAATAACAGGCGGGAAAACACAACAGCGCTTTATTGGAGGCTCCACTGATGATGTTACCCGGCAGGGTAATGAAACGTTTGTGGAAAAACAACGAACCAGCTCGGCAAGCCAACCAACCACAACACTCTATTAATTCTTCCTCCCCAGCATCAGAGCTGACTTGGTTGATCCAGCTCTATCCGTACTTTGAGTCACCCATCATTACTGTTACCTGCTCACATGGATAATATTGTGTGAGCCATTTTAATGTTCCTTTCTCCTTTTACAGGCATGGCTTAGCTGTTGAGGGCTATAAGTGGTGCATTGAGACATTGGAGGAGAAAGTTCAGAGAGAGAAGGATGTTCCTGAAGTATCCTTGTCAGGTAGGATTGTCTATTGACGGAATCAAAGCCATTGCAACATTTTAGTCTGGAGAAAGTGCATGGATTGATGCCTGTCATCACCTGTGCACCATGTGGATTTCAGTGGCTCGGGAAGGCAGCTCACCACCATCACTACCTCAAGGGTGGTTAGGGGTAAATGAGTAATAAATGCTGACCCAGTCACCAATATCCTCATCTTGAGAATGAATGGCAGCTAAAGGCTGCCCTCTGCTGTTTACATACACATATAACACACACTGTCCATCCCACACACGCACACACAAATGAAGAGGTGAATTTGTATTTTCAGATACATTCTATTTTGTTCAGAAAGCGCACAATTTATAGACAGTCAGTCAATGTGGTGTTTTATAAATCCCTACTTTAGAAATAAAAACAGTCTGACTCCAAACCAAAGCACAAACAGATTCTAAACAAGGCCTCACACCTAACTTGCATTGTCTGACCTAAAATGTCACCTCTTCTTTACACCAGTAAAACCTTTCATTCACTCAGGGCTGACTTGAAAGGAATTTGGTGATTTACATATACATATTAATCAATTAAAATCTTCAAACTGATTAAAGATTTAACAGCATCTTAGGTTTCTTTAGTCCATCCTCAGCAATGGTGTGACCCTTTGAACATAGAACATAGAATAGTACAGTACAGTACAGGGCCTTCGGCCCACGATGTTGTGCCGAACTTTTACCTTAAACCTAAGATCTATCTAACCTCCACCCCTACCTTATACTATCATCCACACGCCTATCTAATAGCTGCTTAAATGCCCCTAATGAGGCCGACTCCACTACCCTCTCCGGCAATGCATTCCACACCCCTACCACTGTCTGAGTAAAGAACCTACCTCTGACGTCTCCCCTATATCAACCTCCACTCACTTTGATCTTTTACTTATAAATTCTGTGTCTGATACTACCTCTCTCACTAACACCTGAAGGAGGAGTGAGGCTCCGAAAACTTGTGTTTTCAAATATACCTATTGGACTATAACCTGGTATTTTGTGATTTCTGACCTTGTTAACCCCAGTATAGTGAGTGAGATCTTGCCTGGTTTGTTGCAGGTAAGTCATGAAGTCCAGATAGAGAATTATCACCATTTGCCTGTTAGTGTCTTGAGTGTCTCTATACCACCCCTGTGCTCTGGGATTAGCTGTGCTTAGCTCAGCGCTGTGTATACTCGAAACCCTTGGATTGACTTTATGTTTAATGGTTTGTGTTATGTGAGAGTTGCTGGCTCTTACCCCTAGTTGCCCCTTGAAAAGGTGGTGCAGAAGACTGCTGCAGTCCATGTGCTGTAGTTGTCATAGAATCCCCACAGTGTGGAAATAGGACATTCAGCCAACAAGTCCACACAGACTTTCTGAAGACCACCCAAACCCATCCCCTAATCTTGTCCCTGTATTTCCTATAGCTACTGCACCTAACCTATATGTCCCTGAGCACTATGGACAATTTAGCATGGCCAGTCCACATAACCTGCACCTCTTTGGACTGTGGGATGAAACCGGACCACCCAGCGGAAACGCATGCAGACATGGGGAGAGCATGCAGACTCCACATAGACAGTCGCGTGAGGATGGGTTCAAACCCAGGTCCCTGGCACGATGAAGCAGCAGTGCTAACCACTGAGCCACCACGCCACCCAATCATTAGTTAGACCCATCATTCTAGTGGGCAGGGAATTCCAGGATTTTGACCTAGTAACATCGAAGGAACGGCGACATATTTCCAAATCAGGATGGTGAATGGTTTGGAGGGGAACTTGTAGTGGGTGATGTTCCCATGTATCTACTGCCCATGTCCTTCTGGATGGAAGTATTTGTGAGTTTGGAAGGTGCTGTCTGAGGAGCCTTGGTGAATTTCTGCAGTGAATCTTGTAGGTAGCACACACTGCTGCTAGTGTGTACTGGTGTTGATGGTGGTGAATGGGGAGGTGATGGTCTCGTGGGATAATTGTTAAACTACTAATCCAGAGACCTAGGCAATGTTCTGAGGACATAGAAGTGAATCCTGCCATGGCAGATGGTGGAATTTGAGTTTAATAAAAATCTTTAATTAAGAGTCTAATGGTTAACATGAAAGCCATTGTTGACTGTCCCACTTCAGAATGTCTTTTAGCCATTCTGAGACATCTTTGATTCTAACGCCTGGGGTGTGGCACACTATCCTGGAGTGTTGATTGCAGCTGCACAACCATCTATCTGTTCCCTGAAATTGAATCTCCCGTTACTGTGGCATTTCTGCTTGTTTTCTTGCTTTCCAATACAGCAGAGCCAACTATGGTCAGTGAGTTTGGCTGCTACTACTTTCCTCTAAGACCATGCCCCTGACACTGTCTAAAACGTTATATTATCTGTTTTGTAGGGGAATGGCCACTGGGGATTTCTGCACTGTCTGCCTTGTTCTTTAACTCTTTCTGATGGTCATCCATTCCTGTGGAGTGACCACCTCTGTGTGCGTGCTCTCCGTGATACTGTCAGCCTCATGGCCACAGTCCTCAGCCGCTGTTCCAACTCTGAAAATCGGGCTTCCAAGAACTGCAGCTGGAGACACTTCCTGTACACATGCTGGCTCTGGGCACCGGAACTGTGCCTGACCTCCCACACAGAGCAGGAGGAGCACAACCCAAAAATAAGACTGTTGGAGGATCAGTGCTGAGGGAGCGCCACACTGTCGGAGGGCCAATTGTGAGGGAGCGCCCCAAGGTCAGAGTGGCATTCGGGTCTGTTGGCACATTTAAAAATGCGGCAAGTGCTCCAATGCTATCGGGCCCATATTTACATCAGTGGCACTAAATTTGGTTATTTAATCGTTATTACATCACTGTGGGAGCTTACTGTGCAGAAAATGGTTGCTGCTTTTCCCGCATAATCACTGTGACGCTGTTTCTAAATGCTGGAAAGTGCATTGGGATATTCTGAGTAATGCAGTGGTTGCTGTAGTGACACACTTGTGTTTGTTTTCCAGCTGCTGAGAAGGACAATACCCGCCTGCTCTTGGGGATGTGCTTGGACTCGTGCGCTCGCTACATGACGAGCCAGAAGCAGCTGGTGTTAGCAGAGAGTCTGTATGAGCAGGCACTGGCGATCTCTCAGCAAGTGCAGGGGGAGACTCACCCACAGGTAATAAAGAGCCTGATGGGCTGCAGTGGTTCTCCCCAGCACTGCATGCCTGTTCTGTCACGTTTAATCTCTGTCTGCACATACATGCTGTCTCACTGTCCGATTTCCTGACCCTCTGTGATTTATCCCATCATCATCTGACAGATACATGGAATGATTTGTGTGGTTTTCATCTGGAATAACATCCACACTTTGATTATTTTGGCTATTTGCCTCCAGCCCACTATCTGGGAGGCTGTTTACTTGGTTAGTTATCTAGATATGGAAAGACCAGTGTTTGCTGCATATCATTAGGTACTGCAGAGCCGCATTGTTTAACCCTGCGTGGCTCTAACCAAACTGGTGCCAGACCTCAGAAACCTGGGAATGTGGAAGAGAAATTGCTGGAAATACTCTGCAAATGCAGAGAAAGAAATTGAGTAAACATTTCAGCTATGACCATTCAACATTTGAAAGGTTGTCGGTAAATCATTAATGGTAGCAGTATCCGTTAACAAAGTGTTTGGGAATCTGCACGTTATAAATGGAGGCACAGAATACAAATCCAAATAGTTCAAACAAGTCTTTATCTAACCCTCAGCTGGAGTCTTTTTTTATTCATTCATGGGATGTGGATGTTGCTGTCTGTTGCCTATCCCGAACTGAGTGACTTGCTTGGCCATTTCAGAAGGCAGTATAGAATTAGCCACACTGCTGTGGGCCTGAAGTCACATGTAGGCCAGCTGTGAAAATGGAAAGGGTATAAAGTATAGATAGGGTAAGAACGACAGATGTAAATGTTTAAAGGATGTTAGGAAATCAGCTGGATTTTTATGACTATTGACAGTGTTTCTATGGCCAGTATTAAATTAATTCAAATTTCACCATCTGCCATGGGGTATTTGAACCCTCTCAGTGACAAGTCCAGAGTGATTACCACCATCTCCCTCAGTATTGTGTGCAGTTCTAGATGTTGACCTTCAACAAGGATATCAAGGCTTTGGGGAAGGGATAGAGGCGGATTACTAGATTAGGAACAGAGCTGAGGGACTTTAGATGATGTGGAGAGACTGAAGAGGAGGCTAATAGGAGATTGAGTAGAAATGCTTAAAATCACGACGGGATGAGATGAGGAGAAATCTGTAGCTGAATGAGTTGCGAATGAGAGGGTTCTGGTCTGAAACATTCAACAAAAGAATCGGGTACAATGAGAGTTCTTTTTCAATCAGACAGTTGTGATTTTGAATACGCTGCCTGAAAGGTCAGCTGCAACAGATTCAAGTGTAACTTTGAAAAGGGAATTGGCTGAGTACTTGAAGATGAAGAAAATATTGTGAGATGTGGGACAGAGTTGGGGAGTGGGACAAAAGAACCAGTCATTGAGTGAGTCGGCACAATCTTGATGGGCAGAATAGCTACCTGTGATGGTTTTGCTATTTGATGACTCCTGAGCTCAGAGTCTTACAGTATAACTCTTGGATATGAAGTTGTATCATTCCACTCCCACCCATTAACTTGCACAGATGCCTCTGTGTTTTTGCCACTGACTCTGTCCTTTCTCTCTTCCACGCGACTCTCTCTCCCTCCCTGCTTGTTCTCTCCCTTCCCTGTTTTCTCTCTCTCTCTCTTTCTCCGTCTCTCGCCGCCTCCTCCTCCCCTGTCTCTCGCCCCCTCCTCCCCCCGTCTCTCTCCGCCCCCACCCCATCCTTTCCTGTCCCCCACTCGCTTGCTCTCTCCCTCCCCCTGCTCACGCTCTCTCTGTCCCTTCCCCCCGCTCGCGCTCACTCTCCCTCCCTTCCCCCCGCTCGCGCTCACTCTCCCTCCCTTCCCCCCGCTCGCGCTCACTCTCCCTCCCTTCCCC